AAATTAATTTGCAGACTTTGATTGCCATTGATGAGGTTTTTAGCTCACAAATTGCACGAATCACGAATTTTAAAAATAATTTCAATAAAACTTTTTAAGCCATGTCTTTTTAATTAAAATTTAAAAAAAATTATTGAATGTTTTTTTTGTTTATTGACTTTTGTGACTTAAATGAAATAAATTTTTGGTTTGAATGACCTTATAAGTTTTTAAAAACATTATCGAATGTCACATAAAAGAATTATTATCAGCATCGTGAGGATCGTGACAATGAGCATAATTATTGATACATCTTTTTTTCTAAATTGATCCCGAGCTGCCTTCAGTGCCATATGATTTTATTTAAATTTTACAAAAGACACTTTAGTTATTGCTGACAAAGTTGGTATGACTGCAACTTGGCATTTTTCTAAGCTCACGTTACTCCATGTCATTGCTTGTCTGTTGCTGTCTCATTTTTTGTCGGCGACTTTTGTTTGTGAAATTTTAAACTTAAATAGTTTATTTGAAATTTGAGCAAATTGGAGAATTTTATAAGCTCAATGGAAATTAAATTTATTTTGACGATTTGCATGTTTCTAGAACTTTTGAAAAACTGTCAAAAAAATTCTCAGTTTTTAAAATTTAATTTTTTTCAAAATTATTGAATTTTCTTTTAAGTATTCAACAAAAATCAAGTTCTTAATTTTCAAGTTTAACTTTCAAAACGAAGTTCTTAATTAATACAATTTTTGGAGATTGCAACTATATTATTGGAATATATGATTCTGCTGTGTTGCTATGCATTAACTCAAAAAACCTTGAAAGCTCCACAATTAAAACAACTTATGAATTTGATTAAAACCAAAAAAAAATTATAAAAAAAATGTAAAATCTTTAAATCTTGCTGAAATTTAAAAAACAATAAACCTGTGCAAAAAAACAATAAATTCAAAATAATAAAAAACTCAAAATATTCAAATTTTCTCAAATAAATTTATAAATTTATTTCATTTCATTTCAATATTTTTTTCTTCCTTTTTTCATTAATTTTTTAAATAAAAACAAAAAATATTTTTGCATCCTTTTTTATCTTAAAACGAAAAAAAAACAAATAATTTTTTTAAATTGCTAATAATTATTAAAGTTATCAAAATAAATTAAATTGAATTATTTTTATAAATGAAAAAAAAACCAAAAATTTTGTAATTTTTTCAAAAATAATATTGATAATAACAATAATAATTTTTTTATAAATGAATTTTCTTCTGATAAAATTTCTCCATGCAAGAAGATTAATCATAAAGTAGCTAGCTGATTAGAATATTATCGAGAGTCGTTGCTGGACACGTGTGTGTATCTTTCTGTAGTACTTTTGTCAATTTTTTAAAAAGATAATTTTCACATTTTATCAGAACTTAAATTCAAAACGTTTCGGGTTTCATGTTGCAAAAATAAATTTTGAAGACTTTAAGCATTTCCGAAACATTATCTTTAGAAGCATAACTCACGCGCATGTGATTAAAATATTTTATGATATTTACGAACTTTTTTTTGTGATTTTTTTTTGTATTTAAATATTGTCAAATGTGTTCAATAAGATCTATTTTACATGTTCTATGTTAAAGCCATCATTTTCTTATCATGAATAACCTGAGAAATTTTGAGATTGTCAATTTTCATTATTGTTCGACATCTCGCCATAAATTGGATTTTTTCTTTGGCTCTCTCGAGTTATCGATTAAGCATAATTACATCAGCATTTTAAGCACCAAAAATCCTTTTTTATGGCTATATGTCGCTATGCAGTTAACTTTACAAAATTAATTATTTCGGCAAAAAGTTTAAATTTAAAATAATTGAGAATCTCAATAAAAATAATCTCAAACCATTCAGAAACTCATTCCAGAATTTAAATCTTCAAATTATGAATTACGCTTTACAAATTTTACAAATAATTCTGAACGAGTTTAATCACTCGAACTTCTTAAAATCGAAGTCCAATGTGACCTTCGGGAGAGAAAAATTGATGCAATTTTTACAACTCCAATAATTAAATGAATGACTTAACAAACTTAAATTATAATCAACAAAATAAAATGGGAAACTGACGAATTTTATTGCTGTCTTGCATTTAAGCATTTTGTTTTATAAAAACCATTCTTAAAACTCGGAGATTATTCAGATTATTTACAGCATGCCAAAAATATTAAAACGCAATTTTTCAAAGCCCAGCTATGGATTAAGGTTTTGTTGGGAAAATTTATTTAAAATTTGGACTGATTATTTAATTTGATTTTGTTTTCTTCATTTATGGTTGATATTGAATTACTATTTTACTATTTTCTAATTATTATACTAAAAAGCAAGCATCTCGTTATTAAATGCTGTCATGATTGATGCATAATTTCCATACGCTTGAAATTTAATGTCATAAATTCATCATCATCATTTTGTTTCTATTTTGTTCTTATTTTTCTGAATTTTATAAAGCTTTTGTCAATTTTTTAATTTCATTTATTCTGTTTGAGATTGTGGGAGAAAAACTTTTAAAATTTTAAGAAGGTGGACGTCTTTGAAGGGATGTTTAAAATTTTGAAGGAAATTTTACTTTACTTTGCTGAAATTATTTTAATAGCTTCAAAAGAAGATTTCAGGAGTATAATGTCAGAAGCATTGTGCAAATCCTTTTCATATCGAGAGAGAAAGAGGGATTCAGATGTTCAGTCTGTTGCCAAACTGTTCGCGAAACACAAGCCTAGAACTCGCACTGGCATACTCGCCTTTTTATATCTCAATATCTCAGACTCCAAAAATTTAAATAACTTCTTGAATTACTGTTTTTAAAAGTCTTATAAAAATTAAGGTAGACATGAATTCTGATGGCTCTGGACTCCCAGGAATCGTTAAGCTTCTAAAATAAATATTCGAATTATTTTGAATTATTGCTGGATTTTTAAAAACAAATCGAAATTGTTTTAATTTAAAATTTGAACGAAACTATTAAACTCTTATTTAACGCCCCCAATGAATCCAACTTCAAATATATTTGAAAAATACTTTTTCCAGATAGCAGACACGAAGAGTCTTTAAATTTATTTGGATAAAAACATTCATTCTTTCACTTTCATTCACTTTTAATTTAAATCTAATCGACATTGATATTTTTCAAGTGAATTTTATAAATTTAAATTTACAGACATAAAATACTCACTGATGCTGATCATTCGCGATAGTCGTCGACTTATTTTAACTTAATAATTTTGATTATATTTGTTTGGATTTGAAATTCAAAAGCTTGGAATAAAATAAAAAAAAAATTAAGGATTTCTTTTTCGTGAATTTTTGAATTAATTTCTAATATAACAGATGTTGATGAATGTTTTCAGTCAACTGATGATTTTTGTTCCTAGTTTTTACAATTTATTATTATTTTTTTCTTTGTTTTATTGAAAAAGCACAGCCAAAATATTTCTTTTGAATCCTTTTTTTACTATTTGTGTGAATTGTTTTGGGGTTAATTTTAATTTTGATGTTTTGAAAATTTAAAAAAAATTAAATTCATAAAGTTATTAGGTTAAGAAAATTTCAAATATTGAATTTTTAAAATAAATAAATTGAAAGTTTTAAAAAATTGAAAAGTTCAAAAAAAATTGAAAATGATCTTAGCTTGTGAAAATTTGAAATTTTTTGTTTATTAATCTAATTAAAACTATTTTGTTTGTGCCTTAATATCCTTGAAAATGAAAACTTTTTATAACAAACAAAAAGCTTAACCTAAAGTTAAGATTTTGACATTACTTTAGATTTTAAAGAAGACACTATTTTTTTTATTTTATTGCATGTTTTGGACTTGAGCCGAGAAAGGATAATCGAACACATAGAAATTTTTTCTTACTGTTTTGTTTGAACACGTTTATTTTACATTTTGAACACATTTTTGTTTTGCCAAAAAAGTTTTTTTTGAGCATCAAATTTTCACAATTTAAAATAATCTTGTTGATGAATTAGTTTTTAATAATAAATTTTGATTTTGATTATAAGAATTAAAACTTCATTTTAAATATGAAAAAAATTAATTTAAAATTCTTGTTTTTTTATAATTTTCTCCAAAACAATTGACACAAATTAATATTAAAGATTTCTTTTTTTTTAAGGATTTTTAAAATTAAAAAAATTGTTTGTTTCATTTGCAAGAAAATAAAACAATTATAAACAAAATTTAAAATTTTTGTTTGGACATTTTGAGGGCACTACATTTAATTCAAGATTTTTTTCAAACATTTTTTTTAAAAAAATAATTTTTTTCATTTTCTATTATTTTCAAAAAGAGAGGGTGTTTTGCCTTACACGACAATAAGTGAGTTGAAAAATTTACAAATTCATTTAAATAGAATTTAAACTGGCATTTTTTCATTTTTCTTAATATTAAAATTTTAACTAATTTTCTTCATTTTCAAGCGAGAAACTTTTTTATTTGAAAAAAGCAATTTGAAGGAAAAATTTGAAGAAATTTTCTTTTAAATAAAAAAATATGATTTTTTTTCAGGTGGATTTATTTATCCAATTTGGCTATGCACTTGACGCACAATCACCAGGCCCACCTTCATCATTCTACAAATAAATATCACCTTATGCGCGATTTCTTCTTGGATTTTCCACATATATGTACACATTTAACGAGATGAACTTAAAAGTTTTTTTTTCTTTTGTCTTTAGTAGAAATTAAAGATTTTTTGATGGTGAAAAAAAAATCAAAATTTAAAAAATGTTGTTAGCAAAATTTTAATTTTACCAAAATTTAATAATGTCTAGCATCTGAAAAAGTGTGTCTGTGTTGTGAGTATTTTAATAATAAATTATGTATTTAACAAAAGATGATGATGAATACTGAAAAATTAAAAATAACTGTAATTTAAAATAAATAAGAAGCTTTTAAAAATCCTGAAAATTCGAACTCAAACCAATGAAAATCATGACAGCAAGTAAACTCAAAAGATGACGAATCAAATTTTAAAGGATAAAAAAAAGTGTATGTGTATTTGTAATTCTGCATATGTATGTGTGTATTCATGTATTTTTTATTTAAGATAATTAATTAGTATTTCTGTTGATTTCATCTGGTGGGTTGATTTATACAAAATAAAAAAAAATTAACAAAAATAAATTACAACAAAAAATGAAGTTTTCTTTTCAGTGCAAAAATCGGTTAATTTAATTAATCTTTTGTTTTTGTTCAGACAAAAGAACAAAATAAAAAATTTTTTAAAATGTTTTTTTTTTCCTTATATTGATATAGCACACAAACATTTTTATTATAATTAATTTACTTAATTCCTTATTACTAGATTTTTTTTTTAAAAAAATTTACGAACTTCCACGCGAGTTATAGGGCATGGTAAATTTTATTAGCGAGAGAAGCCTTGAAAATGTTGGGTTTCGTACTTAAATTTAATTAAATATATATCATATTGTATTGTTTTGTAAACGGAGATTAAATAATTTTTTAAGGACATTCTTCAACTTCCACGCGATTGCGTCGAATAGTTTCTTAATTATTAAGAGCAAATATTGTACATACATACATACATTTACATATTTATAGTTTAATTATTCAAAGAAAAATTCTCATAACGTAATAACTTTTTTTTTCATATTATTCTTATTTAAAAATTATTAATATTTCTAGTTCATGTGTGTGTGGGTGTGGGGTAATTACATCTTATTCATTTTTGTGTTTATAAGTGTGAGGGTTGAACTTCCATGCGGTTATCATGGGAGTCTTCATTTTTTTTACTTCACGCAAGGAAGTTAATTTTTTGCATATTTTTCAATAACGAGAGACATTTTTAAAAAAATTTTTGTCGAACTTCCACGCGGATATGGGGGTCATGAGTACTAGTTTTTGAGTATCTAGCAATTTTTAACGATCAAAACTATCCCTCAAAATGAGGGTCCACTCATAGAACTTCCACGTGAAATCCAACAAATATCCTTCCTACAGAAAATCTAGGAAGTAGTTTAATAATAATAATAATAATTTAACGTAAATTCCTATGTACATAATGCGTTGTTGTAGTTGTTGTCGTAAATTCAAGTGTTGCCAGCCGATTACGCACCGTCGCACGTAAATCGAATCTGGGAACACTATCGTGATCTTATAACTTTTCAGCTTTAATTGTCGTCTTTTGAAGGTTGCTGTTGTTAATTTTATCATCAGTTCCCGATGACGATTCAGTCTGTTGACCATTTATGACTACAGTCGTTGTTGTCGTGGATGTGCTGTTGTTATTATTATTATTATTATTGTAAATTTTCGTATTATTATTGTTTATAATATCTTCGCATTTTGGCATTATAACAATTGATGGCGTTGTGGTCGTCGTCGATTGTGAATTATTTATATTATTATTATTACTATTACTACAGCTATTATTATTGTTATTGGCAGTTGGTTTGCAGTCATTCTCAAGAAGTGGCGTTATTCGAAGGAGGGACTTTTTCGGTGGCTTAATGATAACATTCGGCTTCTCAGCAGCTACAATACTATTGCGTCGTTCATTATTATTTCCGTTTCTTTGTTGCTGATGCTCAAAATCAAACGATGAATTTGACGATAATGAACTTGATGAGCTTGACGAGCTAGTCGAGAGACACGAGGCATTTGCAATAACACTCATCTTATGCTGCTGATTAATTTGATTCTGTAATCTTTCATTCTCTTTTCTCAGTGTCTCCTCGATATGCTGCCTCTCGCGAATCTCCTTCTTATGAGCCTCTTTTAATTGCGTTATCTCCTTCTCCATGTATTTTATGAGATCAAGTATCTTATTGTGATCATCTGTTGAATTATTTTTCAACAAATTTGCTGCAAATTCGTATGGCGTTTGTGCTAAGCTACCATTATGATTACTACTATCTGGTTCACCTAAACTCTCATCATCCGTATCCGTTGAGAGTTCAAATTCAGGATTACCAATAATTGGGACTTTTTTGGCGAGTCCATTAAGTGGTGTGACCATTTGATGATTTGTCGTGACTTTAACAACCACTGTTGGTGGCGATGCTGACGATGTTGATGATGTCTTATGAATCAAATGATGATGATGACTACTTATCATTGTATGATGATGTAAATGATGAGATCTTGGTGATGTTGTATGATGATGATGTGGCGGTGAGATTGATTCTTGCTTATTTGGTATCATCGATGGCGTTGCAGGTACAGGTGATGTGGATGATGTTATCTCATTTGATCCGGATTGTCCTTCGGGACTTATTGGTGCGGTAACATTCATCTTCTCTTGCTGACCAGACGACAATGATGATGTTTCGAGTGTGACTGTCGTCTCAGGTGAATTGTGACGTATTTCCGGTGATAATTCATGGGCATTTGGTGTTGATGGACGTTCTTGTTTAATTTGAATTGTCTCACGTTTTATTACTGTACTTGATCTTTCATTATTCTCACGTTCTTTCTCAAACTCACGCTGCTCGCGTTCTCGCTCTTTTGCTAAAATTGTTTGTCTTGGTGCTAGTGCCACATTTGGCTGATATGAACGATCAAATCGCTCATTCTCGGTATGTCTCACAACACGTTCTGGATTTTGTAAAATTGGTGGCTCCTGTGTCGACGATAGGTACGGGATGGACGCAACATTTGGTCCAAAAGGCGTTATTATGTGCTTTGGTGATGCTGCTGCTAACCATGGCTGTTGTCGTGACAGCTGTGAAAATTGATACAACAGCGTTGCCGGACTATACAATTCACGTAAATATTGTGTCAATTGACTCTCATCCATTTTTGATTTCTTCAATGGAATGTCATATCCTGGCTCTTGTTTCGTTTGACCGCCTGTCAATGTGCTGACTTCTTCCATAGCCGCCTGGAAAGAATTGGAAATAAAAAGAAAATTCAATTATTTTGATAAAATATTTTTTTTTTGCATGTGTGGGACTTGATATGGATATAAGATGACGATTTTATCATGTAGAATGTAATTTCCTGCTCGTGTCTTTATTTATTGATGAAAATTGACATTGAGAATGGCACGAGAAGAGACAAGTTTTCTTTTTATTCGAAGATGTCAAGTAATCAAGCATATATTGAGGATTTCAGTCATGAGTAATGTGAAGATTTACTTTTCTGATGGAATTTAAGGAAGATGAATAGGCTGTTTCGAAGGATATTGTTAACATAATTTGTAAACGACCCTAACCAATGACTTCTTCACCTCAAAATTCAAAAAATATATTTTAATACATTTTCCTACACAATTTATTAACTAGATAATTTTGCAATATTTTATAGCTTAGCTGCTAGACAGCAAGTGAATTAATTAGTTCCCAAGTCATAAACTTTTATTATAGTTCCTGATAAGAATGTCATGAGTTATTTACTAGAAATTTCCACTGTTTAGTCATAATAACAACATTATTTCACTTTCGAGCACTAGTCAGTAAGTGCGATGTGTCTATCGCATACTTCGTTTGTTGTTGTTGTTATTGCTTCTTTTGAAAATTAATGGAAATAAACATTCTAGACGATAATTTTATTATTAAAATATAATTTATGCATATACATATGTGTATAGACGATGCGTTCGTAATGCAATGTGACATTTTTATGAAAAGTTTATCAGCCATCAAGAACGTTGACCCGCAGTGACCAGTCTCGCTTACAATAACAACATTGTATGCTTGTAAATCAGAAAGAGTTATTAGTTATGATTATGAAGCTTGTTTAATACTTTTTAAATAAAATTTTGAATTTTTTTTTTCAATTTTTCATTAAAATATTTTTTATAAAAAAATAAATTTTGATTTTAAGACCTTTAAAAAATATAAAAAATAAGAATAATCTCTTCCAGACACAACAATCACTGAATCCAGTTCAAAACTCAAATAAATTTTAAAATTCAACAAATGATTAATGGAAAGGTTAAGTGATGTGCAGTTACGTCAGCGACAAGAATATTGTTGCAATCGTACAGCAACAGATAAATGAATAAAAAAATAGAAGTCGAGAAAAAAATTGTGTCAGAAGTCTGTGTTGTCAACGTGATGCATACATCTGACTTATTTATTGTCTGGAAGTTTGATTTGGTGCTGATATAAATTAATGAGATTTTTTTTGGAAGGGTTTTGTTACGTATTTTGTCATTAAGGTATTGGATAAAAAGTGTGAGTTGGTCGAGCAATCGCTAAGTGACCAGATTCATAAGATAAATTTACTGGTGTAGCTCGAATCCTTAGTTTAATATCAAATTGTGTAAATTTTTAAATTCTGAATTTTAAATCTCATATCACTATGTAAATAGTGCATCCTAGTCACTTAATCCCACAGACCCCAATAAAAATTTCTTCTTTAAATTTAAAATTTCTTTCAGCCAGCTGCGACTATGACTTCATATTTTTTCTCACTTCCCACCCCGCCCTTATCGCACAAAAACAACAACATTAACTGATTGTTTATAAAAAAAATGTAATAATTGAGAGAAGAACCTTGAGGCGATAAGGCACGAGATTCATAAAATCGCACGACTTTGTGTGCATGCTGCATTACTCTCGACTGATTGTCGGCACGTAAAAGTTGCATTTTTTTCACAAGCAAGACGTTGCTGAGTTTCATTCATTAATTTATTAAATGACTTTATCATTTCACTCGACATCTTCATTTAATAAATGTTTTGTTGCACACAGTTGTATTTGAGGACGGTTGTTGCATGGCTGAGATAAAGTAAGATTGTGAGATGAGAGAATAATTGAATTGTGTGGCAATGAAATGTTAACGAGAGTCAGACAATAAATTTGAGCTGTTCAGCTGCAAGCTAATAGTCTACTAGAATCTAGTTACAAATTAAAATCTTATGATTTTTACTTGATTAATTGAACTGATGCACCACTTCCTATTCTCATCTCTAAGGCTTCATATATCCCCAAAAAATTCTACCGACTACATTATTCTACATTTGCACACTTCATTCATATAATCGCTACTTATCCTCTAAAACTTACATGCACTGAATATTTATCCAAAATAAAAATAAAAAAATCCTCGATTTGCTGATTAAAAATTAATAAATTCTGATATGTGCACAAAAACACTAAACACGTCCATGTACAGCTCACATCTAGCATAAATCCCACCCAAAAAAAGTTGTATATATGATAAATGATAATCCATGGAACTCATTTGCAATTCTCTTTCACGTATCTGTTGTTGATATTGAATTTAAAATTCGATGTGTATCATTTAATTCGCATTTGATGGCACGACTTTTATTGAAAATGCAGCATGGCTTTGGAATAATTATTGAAAATATTCTGTATGGGGCCATATGTGTGTGTATTATTTTAATAAATTGGATTTAGGGGGGGATTTAAATTTAATATGAGAACGATTATGTAAATTTTGCGTTTAATGTTGGGGGATTTTTCGGATGATTTATGATGGAAATTGGAAATGAGAGGTTTTATCAATTTTAATGGAGGTTTTTGAGGTTATAAATTTGTTTATTTGCTGTTTTTTGGGTTTGGAGTATTTTTATTGGTACTAGAAGTTATCAAATACTCTAGTCTAGCTCTAGAAGGTTATAAGCTATTCTGTGGGATTACAAGCTCCTCTAGTAGGTGTCTGGCTACTCTAGTAGGTGTCCGGCTACACTAGTATGTGTCCTGCTACTCTAGTGTGTGTCCAGCTACTCTAGTAAGTTTCCAGCTACTTAAATAGGCTCCTAGCTATTCTAGTAAGCTCCTAGCTACTCTAATAAGTTACTAGCTACTCTAATAAGTTACTATCTACTCTAGTAGGTTACTAGGAGTCAACATTACACAAGAAATAGCTATTTTGAAGGATAATTATCATGAAATCTATTGAATATTTCAAAAATACATCCAAATTTGATTCATAGCACTCCATTCACCCCTTATGTCCCTCTGCGCATCTCTCACAGTCTGATTCAACCCAATTAAAATCAATATTTATAATTCTTCATTTTCTCACGACATTAATAGCTCCAATGCCCCCAACTCCACATCCATGCAACAATTTAACATTAAACTTTTCAATTCTACTTATTATTTCTCCACATTTGCTCATACAATCATAAAGTTGTTGACATGTTTAAGTACTTTATATACATCAATTTTTTTTTTCATATACGCATTATATGCGACAATAATGACGACGCTCAACGATGCAGTCATACAGCAGACATATCATAAATTAATGACCATCATAATTTCAGTTCTCAACTTTATTGTCGGCACTGCCATTATATTGCACTTCTATCTCAATTTCTTATTTCGATAAGTTTTTATGAGCTTTTATAATGATCTGTCTGGCTCGGTGCATTCAGTGTTTTTTTGTTTTGACTTTGTTGTGTGCTATTTTGCCGACAAATGTTGTTGTCATTTACACTTTGTGAGCAGTGCAGTGGGATGATGTGTGGATGGGTGTTGTTGATGTGGTAGAATGAGATATTTCGGTGTTATATTTTAGGTAGCTTTAATTTGGTTTTTGTTGTTTTGAAAACAATTAAAAAGTGACTCATAGGAGTACACACGCTTGTGTCAGATACAAATGACTAAGCTATCATGGGTTCAAGTCCTAAAATTGATAAAATACAAATGGTTAGTAGAATTATATCTCAGGTTTTTTTGTAATTTAAATTTTTTTTACATTTCAAACGCTACAATGTAACACCAAGCATGCACATCCAACAAATTAAAATTCCTCATTTCACAATTAATTTCCATCTTCTTTTAATTAATTAACTTGCTGTTTGATGCAGCTATTGCTATCCATGTTCATCGTCAAACATCAAAAGCCATAGCATAGTGTAATTAAATTAAGTCAAAAGAAGAAGATTGAATTTATAGACATGGAAAATGTCAACTCGTTGCGTGCATTTTATTCATTTCTACACTTATTGTTTGTTTCATCTCTCATTTAATTTCTATTTCATTTTTTTTACGATTATGCGCCATAATAAGTTCCTCATTTTTATGAGCGATAATGATACTTTTAACGCGTTCAATGCTCGACATCCAGCATATATACTCAAGAAATATGTGTGTACAATGTTGCATCAATTAATGTGACTGCCACTCATCATCTCAATTCGTCGCATGTCATTTATCACATTGCGCGGCTTTAATTGTGACTTATTCACTCTTTTTCTTCCCTCTCATCGTCTATTAAGTCGTGTCATCTCTCAATTTGAGTTTTAATGCTCGCGACATCAACGAGACAGATTAAAATGAAAGGCTTACATGCTAGTAATGATGAGTGGATTTGATAAATATCAGATTTTTGCGTCTTCTTTGGGGTAATGAAGCTTGCTAGAGAGATACTCAATTGAAAAGACGCTCAGTCGTAAGCAAGCTCAAAGGGAACGCGTAAGAAACGCTCAGCCAGTAAAACACACAGCAAGAAGAATGTTCAGTAAGAAGAACGACAAATCGCCAACATTTGTACTAAGTTACTCTATTCTTTATTTAAGCTACACAAGAAAATCATCCAACTTGACACGATAATTTGCAAGCACAAAAATTGTCTCCCCGGATGCATTAAATTGTGTACATCTAAATCCACAACTATCTCAATAAATGAAACATTTTGACTACAAAGAAGCAAATCCAATAAAAAAACCTGATGTCAAGCTACAAAATAAATGGCAGCAATTCACTGGCCCGTAATTGGATTCTTCTGAATGGATTTTTAAATAAATTGAAAATGATTCCAACAATGATCATGCACTAAGGTTGTGCCATCATCAAATTTCACTTCACTGTATTTTCCATTTTGGCATTAAAGACATTAGACATTGGCCTCATTTTCAATACCTACAATTTGTTGTTTTTATTTGTTCTATTGCAAACT